CTGAGCTGATACAAGCCAGGAGCTTCTTCCAGGTGTCCCACATGGGTGTAGAGTCCCAAGGTTTTGGGCTTTCACTGTTTTCCCAGGCTACAAGCAGGGAGCTGGATGGGAAGTAAAGCAGCTGGTGCCCAAATGGGATCCCGTCTCTTGGAACTTTAGTCACTAGGCTACTATGCCAGGCCCAATCTCATTCACATCTTAACAAGATCATTAAAGTGAAATTGATCAGATATAAAAAGAACAGGGGCTGGCATTGTGGTAAATAGTGAAGCTTCCACTTGGGACATTGGTATCCTTCATCAAAGTGCCAGTTTGAGTCTGCTCTGCTTCTAACCCAGCTCCCTGCTAATGCACCAGGGAAATAGCAGGATGACTCAGGTACTTGAGTTGCTGCCAAACATATGGGAGACCCAGATTAACTCCCTGGCTCCTGGCTATAGCCTGGCCCAGCCCTGGCTATTGTGGCCATTTACAGTAAACCAGCAGATGAAAGATCTTTCTTTTTCCATCCTGCCATTTGGTCTCTTTTCCTTCCAAACGAATAAGTAAATACATATATATATATTAAAGGAAAATAGGCAGAGAAAGGATTTCAGAGTAGAATAGTGGTTACCAGAGTTTGGGCGAGAAGAATGAAAAGGGTTCCTAGAAAGAAGGAATCTCTTTATGGTTTCATAGGAGGAATACCTTCTAGGACTCTTTTCAACAAAAATAGTAATTTTGGTACTATAATTAACAAGAATGTGCTGAATGTTTCAAAAGAGAGGATTTTTAAACTGTATTTTTATTTTTCTTGAAAGGCTGTTTCTTCACTGACTCATAGATCATACAGTATCATTTTTTTCTTCAAGAAGGTTCTTGATTTCCTTTTCTATTTTTTCAGCAACACATTAGTCAACCAGTAGCATGTTATTTAACTTCATGACATTTTTAATTTCTTTTTTCTTCTTATTGTTGATTTTGTTTTGTGGCTTTTCATTTAAGGGGATGTACTGTAACTGTATAATGGAGACTATTATGTCCAGTAGAATGTTATTTAACTTCATGGCATTGTTAATTTCTTTAAAAAAAAAAAAAGGCAGATATAGACATCCTCCATCTGCTGGTTCACTCCTCAAACACGCACAATAGCCAGGGCTAGGCCAGGCCAAAGTAACGAGTCTGGAACTCAATTCAGGTCTTCCATCTGGAATGGCAGGGACTCAAGTACTTGGGCCAGCACCTGTTGTCTCAGGGTCTGTATTAGGAGGATGCTGAAAGTGGAGGTAGGACTCAAACTGGCCACTCCAATATGAGATGTGAGCATCGAGAAGCATCTTAACTGCTGTACCAAATACTCCAGAGAAGATGATTTCCAATGTTCTCACAACAAAGAAATGATAAACAGGGTCTAGTGCAATGGGTCAATGGCAAAGGCCTTACTTTGCGCATGCCAGGATCCCATATGGAAGCTGGTTCATGTCCCGGCTGCTCTACTTCCCATCCAGCTCCCTGCTTATAGCCTGGGAAAGCAGTAGAGGATGGCCCAAAGCCCATGTGGGAGACCTGGAAGAAGTTCCTGGTTTCAAATTGGCTCAGGTCTGGCCATCATGGCCACCTGGAGAGTGAACCAGGAGAGGGAAGAGCTTTCTCTTTGCCTCTCCTTCTCTCCATAAATCTGATCTGCCTTTCCAAAAAAATAAGCACATTTAAAAAAAAAATGCTGTATGTCTGAAGTAATTGATATGTTAATGAGTCTAATTTGATCTTTACATTATGTATACACATATGAAAATATCACATGGGTCCAAGTAAATGCATAATTATGGTCAATCAAATGAAGTAAAATTTTATTTAAGGAAATAAGGACAGTGAGAGGAAACTGAAGTTTAGGCTAAGTTCAACTGGACTTTCAAAGCTTGCAGGAGCCCCTGATGACATCCGGTTCTCACAAAGACAGCCTGGATCTAAATGGGTTTGCAATGTTGCCTTTTTCCCCCATGCTGGGGGCAATCAAGTGGCACAGATTGTTGGAACACACAGTTCATATAGATTTTTTAAGTCATTAACAGTTCTAAATTAACCAGCTGAATGAGCTCACTGCGCGAAGGAGCAGGCACTACCGGTGGGGGTTCTGGCTTAGAGACTGATTGCCCAGAAGTGGGGGGAAAGAAAGATACTAAAGAAAACTAAATGATAAGAGCACCGAGAGCCTTACAACATGCCCAACTAAGCCCTTGCTGCCTCACTAGAAGAACCACAAAATGAAACCAGACGGCTCTTATCTCAATATGAGGGGCTCTTCAACAGGTTCATGGGAAATGGAATCATGTTTACTTGGGTACGAGAATTTTGAAAGCCATGCACAGTTATACATTGCTGTGAATGCTTGAAGACTCTTCATGTGTATGGATTTCAAATATTTTTTTACACCAAGATAAATAATAAATATTTTTAAGTAAATGTTTCTTTTTAGTTCATTTGAAAGGTGAAGGATGGAGACAGGAATCTTCAGCCCTCTCTCTGGCTCACTCCGCAAATGCCGGCAACTGCCAGAGTTGGGCTCAATGGGAGTCAAGATCCTGGGTCTAGCTGGATTTCCCACATGCGTGGCAGGGCCATAAGTAGTCAGAAGCCAGCTCCCCATACCACCCAGGATGAGCATTTGAGGAAGGCTGGGCTGGGGATGAACTGGAACTTGAACCAGGCACACCTATATGGCATGTAGGCTTCCAAATGGCAATCCCCCCCAGGTCAAAGGTTTTTTTTTTCTTTTTTAAATTTATTTTTAATTCTGTTTTTCCATGACCCTGTTGACATCCCCTTGTATATAAGCAAATAAGGAGCATGAGGCTGTTTCTTTCACAACTCTGACCTGGAAGGTGACAGAACCACGGCTCCTAGCTCCCTGTGCCCGGGCCAGACTTCCCCAGGGCCAGCCTTCTCCCACCTGTATGCCTTGGCAAAAGCAGACAGGTCCCATCAGCTCTTTACTTCCATCTGTTCCCACAACAAGCACACATCACTTTTCTAATCAGGAATGGCAAAACACAAAGACAAAACCAATTTATATTGTATAGATCTGTCAGGGAACTCCTGGTTTCAAGACAACCATTCGAAAACAGGCATTTTACTTCCTGTCTATGGCAAAAAAAAAATTAATAATCCAATAAATATTAATAAAGAGGAAACATCTATAGTGGGATTTGAAGATGGAGAAGGATACTATAAATAGGCCGGAAGCTCTGGGGGTTGCTTGCAAGAAGGGAGACAGATGGGAGCAGAAAAGCACCCTGGGAGAACCTAAACTGACACCCTTTCCCTGGGGGTTTAGCAGAGCATCATGACAAACACATGCACCCAGAGCTGCAGGCACCCTGCCCCTGGACCAAATCCTACAAACAGAACAGGACAAACACGCACATTATTATGTTCACAGTGTATTTTCTCTTTTTCTATGTCTAAGGTTTATTGAATTTTACGTCTGTGCTTCCAGCAAGTATTTCTTATTCATATGCTCACCCTAAAAATTAAAACCAATTTTAGAAAGCATATCATTACTACAACTATGCAAACGTTGCCCCACACTGGGCTGCCTCCTCTGTTACAATTACATCTGTTTCTCAGCAGATTCAGTTTTGCAATGCCAGGTCACTAGAAAGAGAACATTTCTGCCATCAAGGACAAATAGAGTCTTTATTTTTACACCCCATTGGCTCCTAAAAATTACTCTGCATTCCCTATTGGCTAATACATTTCTTGTGCAGCTTTTCCCTTATCATTTCTCATTTCCATGCCCCCCACCTCTTTTCCCCCTTTTAATAATATTTGCCTCTGGTTTTTCAGTTTCTCCCAGTCTACCTACACTCCCATTCTACCTCTGCTCCTCTTTTCCCTTTTGTGGCCTGGGACTTGGAGAGCTCTCACACAGCTATCTCAAAACTTCTTGCCCTGCCAGCTAAGGAAAATCTTCCCTGGCTGACCCCTTTCCTTGCTGGAAAACATCAAGTGAGTCCTTAAGAAAGACAAACAGTCTAGAAATGAAAAGGAGAATAACTGCAAAGTAGCAGAGTTTTTTGTCTAAAGATATGGATTACTAGCTCATGTATTCAGTTTGAAACCCAAGTTGGAATGTATCCATTCTTTAAAAAAAAAAAAAAAAAAGGGAAAGAAAAAAGTTGCCACCTGCGGTGACTGCATCCCATATAAGTCCAGTTCAGGTTCCAGATGCTCAAATTCAAATTCAACCCAGCTCCTTGATAATGTACCTGGGAAAGCAGTGGAAAGTAAGTCCAGATGCTTGGGTCCTTGTACCCACGTGGGTCACCCGGATGAAGTCCTTGGCTCCCTCCTGGCCTGGGCCCAGCTGTTACAGCCATTTGGGGAACGAATCAGTGGATAGGAAACTCTACCTTTATACCTACCCCCGCCATCATTCTCTCATTCTGCAACTCTTTCAAATATGTAAAATAAATCTTCAAAAAATGTTCAGCTTCCCAAAACTGGTAAGAAATAGAAAACCTAAATCATCCCATAACCTGTTAATAAACTGAAGCAAGAGTTAAAAATGTTTTCTTGACGTGAATAGCAGCATATGGCTTTAATTGAAAAATCTACCGATCATTGAAAGAATAGGTAAGTTCCAGTCAGTCACACCCAAACACTCAAAAGACAGAAAAGGAAGAAATACTTGCCCATTGTATAGCTTTTTATATCTAGCATCACCTAGTCTAGCCTCAAGTTCATTAAACACCAGACAAGGAAGCAGTACAAAGGGTCTGAGTACCTGTAGTCACCTTGCCCATGTGGGAAACCCAATGGAGCTTTTGGCACCTGACTTCAGCCTTCCAACCTCTGACTCTTGTGGGCATTCAAGGAGTAAATCAACGGATGAAAAATTTCTCTGTCACTCCACCTTTTACATAAAATAATTTTTTAAAAAAACCTACCAAACTTATATAAGAAAGGCAAGCTCCAGGTCAATATCATTCGTATAAACACAATGGTAGGAATGTCAGCTCGTGCTCGCTTCAGCAGCACATATACTAAAATTGGAACAATACAGAGAAGAATAGCATGTCACCTGCACAGGGATGACACGCAAAATTGTGATGGAATGTCAGCTCAATAGAATCCGCTATGCCTTTTGCTTCCTGAGCACACAGATGGCATTTCCCGGGTTCTCCTGTGGATTGTGTCGTCAGGGGTTGGCACTGTTACTAATGAAACATAAGCAGAGCTGATGTGGGAAACATTGGGCTCCAGCTTTTAATGAGAACTTACACTTCTGCCCATTTTCTTTCCTGGGTGCTAACTGAATACAGAAACCCACAAGACTCTACAGCCATGAGCAAGAGGGTGTAGGATCACCAGTGTTTAAGTTCTGTGAACAAGAAGAAAGCTCTAATTGTGTAAACCATGAAAATTTGGAAGTTTACTTGTTACAGCAGTTGGCATTGCCCTTAATCAGAGATTGATATTTTAAAAGGGACGTGCTGCCACAATAAAACTAAAAATACATGACTAATCCCTGGAAGTTAAAGGGCAAGCTACAAGAAAGCAGATTTTGAGGCCAGTGTCATGGCTCACTGGCTAATCCTCGACCTCTAAGCACCAGTGTCCTATATAGGCATTGGTTCATATGCCAGCTATTCTATTTCCCATCCAGCTTTCTGCCTATGGCCTGGAAAAGCAGTGGAGGACACTCCAAGTCCTTGGGACCCTGCACCCATGAGAGAGACCCGAAAAAACTCCTGACTCCTGGCTTTAGAGCAGCTCATCTCCGGCTGCTGTGGCCACTTGGGGAGTGAATCAGCAGATGGAAGCTCTCTCTCTCTTCTCAGTAAATCTTTCAAATAAAAATAAATAAATCCTTTTTTTTTAAGAAAAGAAAATACAGTTTTACAGGCTAAGCCAATGGTTGGCAAATCACTTAACTATTACCTGCAATAGCTTGGATGGTAGACCGTGTCTATTGGAGACTGTAGTTTTAAGGAAAATATGTGCACAGCCAGAGCATTCATGTGTGTTTGCTTACATTTCCTGCATTAAGCATGTATTACAAATAACAGCTGAGCTTAAACTAAAATATCTGAACAGAAAGAAATGGACACAACATAAAACTCAGGGTAAGCCACCACAAGCAATTCCAGCATCCTGTACCAGAGTACAGATTCTCATCCTAGCTGTCTCACTTCTGATCCAGTTTCTTGCTAATGCACATGGCAAGATAAGGATGACCCAAATACTTGAGATTCTGCATCCCACATCAGAGACCCCAGTAGAATTCCCAGCTTCTAACTTTGGCCTTGTCCAGCCTTGGTCATTGCAGAAACTTGACAATTGAAATTGCAGATGAAAAATCAGTATCACTCTCTGTCCCTCTGTTTGTAACTCTGCTTTCAAATATATAATATTCTTTAAAGATTTTAAAGACTTGATATTCATAATATATATTGGCTGCATCTTGAAATGATACTATTTGGAATTGTATTGCCATGGGAAAAAAAAATAGTGTCAAACTCAACAGCCTCTAACTGTAAAACAAACTTTTTCACTTCCAGGCTTGCATCAGCAAGAAATTTCCATATGGTTTTGATTCTTGGCTCTCAAAAACAATTTTTTTAAGTAAAATTCCCAAACCATGTACTGCAATATCTATGATGAGTCATCTTTGGTTCAGACAGAAATACAAAATAAAAAACTGAAAAATGTGATAGTGAAAAATAAGATATCCTAAAACATTGTTTTACTAATCAAATTTAAGAGACTCAATAATACTTTAAGAAAATTTTGTATCACTTTTAATCTATGCAAACTAATTTTTAAAGATTGATTTTTAGCTATTTGAAAGGCAGAATATAGGAGAAAGAGAGCGATCTTCCATTCATTCCTTACTCCCCAAATGGCCACAACAGGGCAGGGCCAAGCCAAAGCCAAGACATGGGAACCCCTTCCAGGTCTCCCACACGGGTAACAAGGACCCAATAACGTGAGCCATCACAAGTCTCTTTCCCAAGTTCATTAGCAGGGAGCTGGAACAGAAGCAGAGCAGCCTGGGCTTAAACCAACACTCTGTTAGGAGATGCAGACACAGCAGGTGGTGATTCAACCCGCTGCTCCACAAACAAAAACTATTCAACAGAGGTCTTGCAATAGACTTGGCACACGCTATGAAACCTTGTACCAGGTCACATCCAGAAATAAATAAATAAAAATGAAAAAAAATCCAAAAGCGACCTGTCTCATCTCTAAACAAATCATGATTCCTTCTCAGGGGCATTCAGCAACTGAGAGTAGTAAGGAACCTTCCATACACATCCCCCAGACCCTGTGCCTAGGTCAGTATCTAATTATGAGCTGAGCTGTGTTCCTCCCACTGTTGTGGTAAACACCTAAACCCAGAACCTCAGAATGTGACTGAACATGGACATATGAGGATCACATAGGATCATTACGGTAGATGCTGATCCACTTCGATGGCTTTCCTCCTGGGACGAGATGAGGATGCAGACACCCAAAGAGAAAGGGCTGTGAGAAAGCAGAAAGGCCCCAGAGAAGTTAGTGCTGTCTACACTTTGACCTGTGATCTCCAGAACGGTGAGACCACATTAAAAGCCTCTGTGGGATGTTTTGATGGTGGCCCTCGCAGCTTAGTGCCCTTGTCCTTTGGGACCCTGTGGGAATCCTGCTCTCATCAGAACACAGCACATTGCTCAGCCTGTAGTGTTGTTAAAGTTCTGCTGTAGAAATCAAAAATCATCACCACACAGTGGGGGAATCAATGCAATTGGACAGGAATGTGATTATAGCATAGCAAACACTTTAAAATGTTTAACTGAAAATATCATATCACTTGCCTTTTCACTTCAGTCTCCTCTGGAATTTTTATATAAATAGCACGTGGTTGGAAGCTAGTTTGGGTGTCCCCTCAAGGCCCATGTGTAAAGTCTTGATCTCACCTGTGCTTCCTTCAGCCTAGCTGGACACATGACTACCCCTCCCCCATCCTCTGGCCACACCAGACACTTGAACAAATAGAGCTTCTCCATCTGTGACTGTGAAACTACAGGATGAAAGATGAACTAAATCTTCCTGTCCAAGAAACTCTTTTCAAGTGTTTTAGTCAAAGTAATTAAAAGCTAATACAATGCACTATTAATATTCTGAAGTTTAATCAAATTGAAAGAGCTGTATACTTTAGAAGCATACCTTGCTTCATTAAGTATGACCCAAAGATGCAGATAAAACCTTTCAGGAATGAAATGTAGCCAACATATATTTGTAAATACCCAACAAACCTTGTGTAGTTGTCTTGTAGGGCACTGGTTGTAGGACATGCCTCCTCGTTGACACACACACAGACAGGAAAATCTGCGATGCCCAAGTCCCTTATATAAAATGATTTGGTATATTTACATCCATCCTGCCATATATTTTAAATCATCTCTAGGTTGATTATAATATCTAAACAATTAATACAATACAAATTCTATGTAAATAGTTGCCATACTACATTAAGAAAAAAAATCAGCATGTTCAGCACAGATTAAATTTTTTCCTCCCCAGATATTTTCAGTCTGTGGTTGGTTGACTTGTTAGATGATACGAAAGGCCTATTCTGTATTATTTCTAGGCCAAGGTCCAGTAATGCCTTTCACCACTACTAACTACTCCACACAAGGGTTGGACCAATTCCCTCTATCAAAACAAAATACCTAAAGTCCTAAAATTGGAGACAGCAGGCAAAGAATTTCCTCCTATAATATACCTTATAAAAGCAACAAATATCCCCAGCAGGCATTTTTCTTTTCTGTTCTCAGGATAAAGTATGGGGCAGCTTATGAAATGCTAGACATTTTGAAAAGGTTTTAGTGCTATAGTATTGAGTATGAATTTGATTCTGCAGCTAAATGAACATACTGTAGACGTTAGTGCTTTCTGGGTTTTATGAATGTTCTCAAAGCAGAAAAAAGAAATCCACATCAAATTCAGAATCTCTGTCAATACCTCTTACTAAGTGCCTCTGGGTACCATCAGCTGTGCTATGTACAGGGAAATCGTGTATCCTAAATGCTGGATTCAGCCAAGGGTGCTTACAGTTAACAGAAGTTACGATGTATATAAGCAATCCATTATCCAAAGTCATGAGTCATCATTCCCCTAAGGAACCACTTCACATGGGAAGACTTTTACTGGCTCTACCTGCCAGTGAATGCCCATCACTACCCACAGATCCTGCAAAGTACCACAAGATAAAGTTCTGGATGACAGCTGATGTTAACTTGATCATAAATATTGTGGTCTTCATTCAGTCACATTTTACCTAGTAGAGGACTCAGACTGGAAATGGGTAATATTTTGGGCACTTGCTCTTTGCAGTTGCATTACTCACTCACTGGCTTTGGCTATTTAAAGTTTCCCAACATAGCAGGAATAGTGACTAAAAAAATATATGTGGAAGCTCTAGTCTGGAAAATTGGCCTAAATTCCCACTAGGATCTCATATTCATTGCCATTAAGAGGAATCACATGGGTCATCCTCACTATCTTGGAAGTGATGGCATCAGGGGGCAGATCTGACTGGCTTTAAGGCAGGGTCTGCTGGCTCTGCCTGTACTAAGTTACTGTGGGCTATTCTTCAGTCTTCCTTTTCTCCCTTTTAATATCTACTGATCATTCCATCATAACTAATGTAAACTAAATTCTTGATTGGAAGTTGGCAATCCAGTTATCCACATCACTTTGGATATTGTTTCACTCCATTGCAGGAATTAAGTCTGGTTTACACACCAGCAGCATGCTCTCCCACTCCTAACTGGCCTGAATTCTGGACATTTTACAGCTGAACACTTCATGTTCTTTTTTTTATTATTACATCTCATTTTATGACACAGTTTCATAGGCTCTGAAGTTCCCCCAACCCCTCCCCGTACCCTCCCCCCCATGGTGAATTCCTCCACCTTGTTGCAGTATTACAGTTCAAATCCAGTCTGTCTTCTTTCATTGCAAGCATGTACCATGCATAGAGTCCAGCATCTTATTGTTCAGATCAATTCAACAGTTTCTCGGGGAGACCATCTCTGGTCTGAAAGCAGAGCTGGCAGGATATCATCCCGACCAATTAAA